AGGAAATGCAATGAATAATAAACGCTGCACATTTCAGACAAACAATGAATTTTTTCGATACTATTGGTGTTACGGTAGACTCCGACTTGATCAGATATATCGTTACGTAACCGTGTTGCGTGAAGTGTGTGACGAAATTCTGAGTTGTGAGACAAAACATAGATTTAAATACAATGCAGATAAAAATACGACTTATAGAAAAAATGCATTTCATTACTATAAAACATAACAATAGATGAGATAATTTTTGAGTGATAATAATTTTCTTTAGAATATTTGATTTGAAAAAATCTACTTTGATACGATGAAGGCGCTATTTTTCTCTCCCAGATATAGGTGAGTTACGCAGTACAATGTAACGTAAATTACTTTGTTTTATGCTTTCAGGCACGAAAGATGACGAATTGATTCAAGCAATAACAGCTCTGACCAACGAACAGAGACAGGTGGTCAGAAAGACATATCATTCAAAATTCGGAAGGGTAGGTGGTTCACGGTATTGAATGTTGTTTTTGTGGGATTGTGTGCATACTAGTACTGGTCGAGAGTCGCCTAAATTGCGCCCTCCGACGTTGAAATTGCAAATGTTGGTCGACATTGTTTTTGTCGACTTTGTATGGTGCTACATCATGGCCGTTTGCGAGATACACGTACGTATGCATTTAATTCGACCACGCCCTAAATACCTTTGCATACACACGAAAGTATGAGTTAGTTGTTTCCAAAACTTATCCCAGAAATTTGAAAGTTCAGGAAACGTCTGTAAGTCTTACGCAAAATACCATAGCAGTGCACTGTGACATTTTGTTCTGGCATTGATATTAATGGTGCTGATCAAAGCTTAATGTGTTTTCTCGCCAGGATTTAATTCAAGACGTAAAAAGTGAAACCAGCGGCGATTTTGAAGACGTGTTGGTGCATCTGTTAGAACCAGCTGCAGAGTACGATGCCTGGCTCCTACACGAGACTATGGATGTAAGTCACGGTGATTGGCTAAGACGTATCATCTGATCGGACGAAATTAGTAATAATAATTTATGTTATCATAAGTTGACACATATTTATTTCTGGTTCTTTTAAGGGCCCCGGTACGGAAGAAGACATTCTTCTTGAGATATTATGTTTTAGAACAAAAGAAGAACTCACAGCAATAAGACAGGCCTACCATCAGAGTAAGTTAGGACGCAAATGCGCAGTTGAATTAATCGAACCTACCAGGCACCCAACACGCATGCGCATATGCCGTGTTCCTTATTTCACGAATACTATTATCGAAAGTGATATCACCATGCATCACACAAAAAATGTACACCCCATACTACCACATTTCGTATTTATTTGTGAGATTGACCGCAGTTCGTTGAACCCCGTCACACGAATGCTATATAGCTCAGACAAGTCGACGTAGTATATGAGACTTTTACAAACTTTTATCGACGACTACGATCACGTCCATATAAACACGTACTTACATTTTAAATGTTATTTATTTCTATGCAGAATACGGGAAAACTTTAGACGACGATATAAAGGGCGACACCAGCGGTAACTTTGAAAAGATGCTACTTATTCTCTTAGAGGTAGGACTTACTCGGCATTGTCATGTTATGTTCGATCACAGGTCGAAGCTTTATCTTTTCAACCCCAGTTATCAGAAACTGATTTGTGCAATCCTGGTGTAGTATCACTGTTTCCGTATATTTTTGGCTTCGACAGAATAACTCAATCGATCCAAGTATAATTGAAACCCGCTATAACAACCTTGATAGTGGTGTGTTACATTTCTGTAATTACTCTGTCTATATGTGTTTTTTTTCAGGGAGTGCGTGATCGACCACATGTTGTAGTGGAGGCCTTCGCTAGAGCCGACGCCAAACTGATGTACGATGTACGTGTCTTCAAAATTATTCACAATTATTTAAGAGATTTTAAAGCAGGGAATCGTCACCTGCGCATGTGTCAAATGGCCATAGCGCGTCATTCTTTACAAACAAACGTCTACACAGGAGCCTTTGCGTTTTTAGCGTGTATTGTTATTGTCGCTTGGGACGTAATTCCCGCGCGTGCGCAGTTGACGACCCTCCCGCTTTAAACATCACAACGTTTATGCACTTGGCAACATAGATAACTTCAAGTTTTTGTTTTTGTTTTAGTTTTTTTGTATTGAATTAGTGCTTGATATAATTGAATCATGATATAAACAACAAACAGTAGGGTATGGTTTATCGTAAAATAAAATCTTTTATGATTTATGCTGAATTTGATGGATGGAATAAAGACAGCGAAAGAACGCACACAGACAACCTGCACTGTATGAATTTATGTTTCTCACAATTTCATCGGACGAATATTGCTACTATGTTTGCAACAAAACAATATTTTTATTTCCCTGTAAATCATACTCTATTGTTCCAAAATACAATACCAAACATAATATATTATACTAACAATCGAATATGATTCAAGCAAATTATTTGCTTCAAAACAATTGCAGACAATTAATTGCCAGATTTGGAAGGCGTGCATTCCCTCCATATAACTATTTGAAAGTGTCGGTATCACGTGATACATTTTGTTCGACTATTTCATACATTCTGCTGTCTCTGTCGAAACCAGTCGTACACTGCAATAACCGATTCCCGAATTGATGGCGTTAATCCACTTTTCTCAGCTGTATTATTTAGTTCATCTAGCTGCTCATTTTGTGCCCACCCCTCCTCACTCCGCTATCTTTTAAAAACTGTTTTTAATATGTCACTAACTTCTTCCGGGCTGCGTGTCTATTGTTCGTTGATGTTTCTTTGATTTCTGCCCCTCGTCTGTTGCCTGGTAGGTTATGCATGCGCACATAGAACTTCATATCATCTGTCAGGAATCGGGAATTGTTCTTCAAATTTCCAAATCTATCGCACCAGTGGAATTGGTAAACTAAATTCAGAAAACATTACATTATTATTTCGGACCGTAATATTGTATTTATAACATGCTTACAAAACCGTAAAATGTGAATAACTGGTTATTGTCCCGATTTGCTCTTTAGAGTGGTGAGGGGAGACTCGGTACTGACGATGACCGATTCATCGATATTTTCACTACACGTAGCTGGGATCAGTTAGCTGCTTCAACGTTCATGTACGAAAAGGTAAGATACAATAACTGTGTAGATCTACTAGTCGCAGTAATCGTGTAGATACGTTAGTTACTGTAAGTGTTGACTCATCAGTTACTGTAACAATGTAGACCACCATATACTGTAACAGTGTAAATCCGCCGGTTACTGGAACTATGTTTATCCACCTGTTACTCTAATGGTGTATGCACCCCGGTTAATGGGACATTTAGATTCATCAGTTACTGTAACCGTGTATATCCACGCGTTATCGCAAATGTGTTAACCCATCGTTTACTGTAGCTGTGTATACCTGCCAGTTACCGTAACCCTGAACGCCCTAATGTAAATGTAACAGTGTAGACCGACCAGTTACTTTTATCATGTAGACCCATCTGTCGCTGTAGCTGCGTAGACCCACCCAAGTTACTGTATCCATGTAGATCCACCAGCTTCTATCTATAGGCTATTGTAAAAGTATAGATAAATGGATTATTGTTTTATTTTATCATAATATTGTAAAATAAAAAACGGTTAATAGCTTCTTCACATGATGTAACTTATAGAATGTCTGTGGTCTTTGTATTACAGATGTATGGTAAACCTATTGAACAAGTGCTAGAAAGTGAATTCTCTTTCGACATGCTTTTTGCGTTGAAGAAAATGGGTAAGCATGTTTTATCTATGCATGGGTTTCCTGGCAGTGGTATCGACACGTGTCACCCACAACGTACATATACATCCAGTCGACCATATAGCGCCTTCTGTCGAACATTGACGAACCAATGGCATCGGTATTGTGTGGGAGTGGTTATGGAGTTATATTATGCAAATCTCACCATGTCTCAATACTAGTAATATTTTTAAAATGTCGGAGTATTTCTAATTCATTGGTATATCTCGTGTTTATTCCCCCATTATAGTTGTGTTTGCACGTGATCGGGCCACGTACTTCGCTACCATGCTGTACGACTCGATGAAAGGACTCGGTACAGACGACGAATATTTGCAACGTCTCGTGATCACAAGATGTGAGGTAAGAATTAACAAACCATCAACCAGTAATAAACTTTACAGCAAAGTGAATTGTTTTAGAAACGATAACGATTTCTTTATTGTTAATATCATTTTTTGGACATTACTAAATTAGTAAATTCATATTAAAGCGTGGTGGTCGTCGCGCAGCGCGTGTTCGAATTTCATGTAAATAAACAATGTAATTTACACGCATTGTATACGTCGCTATGAGTCCCATATCGACTACCGCCCTTCAAGTATTATATCATAATATTACCGTAAGATATAAGCTGGCATTAAACAGTTCAAGAATTTCCTTTTTTTTTCAAAATTTACTGTTCAGATTTTTTTAAAGTATCCGGAATATCCACATTGATTACGATTCTATCATGAAATTCTCAATATGTAAGATCACACCGCGGGAGTTGTTTTATTCATTGCATATTGCATATTTGCTGGGAGGGTAGACGTGTTTTGTATTATGTATAATTACGTCACATTATTCTATTTTCAGGTTGATATGCTGGAAATCAAGGAAGCATTCAAACAAAAATACGGCCTGACGCTGAGTAAAATGATAAGAGACGATACGAGTCATAAATACAAAGACGTTCTACTAGCCCTTATCAATTAAAATATTAACCAATCACGAGCACGCGGTCTTCCACATATTGGCGACACTTTCATGACAACCGAACATTCTGTTTGAAGGGTGTCACCTGCGGAAATTTCAGCATTACAATAAGTTTTTCTGCAATTCAATGAACCATCCGGGATATTTCTCCGCCTTCTCCGTCCAGCCAAAGTCCATAGGGACACGGTATATATCATGTTGCTCTAGTGTCGTTGATTGGCTTCAAACGTTACGTTAAATTGTTACAGTAATCGTGCAAGGCATCACATGGGACCCACATCGCCATGACTCACGTGCCAGTGCTTCACAAGATGACAATATATATTTTTAAAAATGAAAAATTTTTCTATACATTTACATTTTAACATAAAAATTAAATATCACTGAATTATGCAATATTCGAATATGTCAAATAGTTTCACAGTTTGCTTTCATACTTTCTTAAATTTTGTAATCCTATCAGGCAGAAAACAAAGTACTAGTATTCCCGTCCAGCATAATCAAAGGCATTTCATCGTTTTGTCGTAAGCAATATGTAATATGTAAAAAAGTGTAAATATTTGTATAATATATTATATAGACATAGACGATTAGTAGCAAATCTTTTAGGAAAGTTACTAGTAATAATATTTACCTGTATTTTTAATTTTTTTTTTTTTCTAAATCAAAACCGTCCGCTGTCGGAAAACACTATTTTATCACCATTAGCTTCATACAGTTTTTATTATTATTTAGGAAATAAACAATCACAAAAATAGTGGTTTTCATTTATAGGTAGATTGCCTGCACTATATAAGTGGCTAAAGTCGGGATGAATAAGTGAAACTTATAGTTTCTCGACATTGGTTACTTGATTGCCCGGTCAGTTTTGATGTACACTTGAAATAATTCTGTACGGAAAGGTCGTTTGCCCTCGACTATTTTGCAATCAATTCACCATTTACAGTGAAACACAATTGTAAAATAAAACTGTACATGGGAATTTCATATTTATCGAGTGCAATTACATTCCTGTACGAATACCAGTTGATTTACATATGTACATGTATTCACTTCTGTAATTGCATTGTGGTAGAAATTAAACAACTCTGTACACAGGTCATAGCAGGTATGGCGAATTAATTACTGATCGTGGTACATTTGGTTTATATTGTCGTCACATCATCATGCAAGTAAGTAGCGCCCTTGTGCGTTCTGTGACGTCAAAATGACGTATAAGCAATTCTCTTCAAATAAAGAATTGTGTTGTCAGTCATCTAAAAATATCTCGTCGTCGCTAAATGGCGCTATTTACAGAAATGTTGTATTGACTATTTTTTTACCAGGCATGTATGGCAAATCACCCTATAATAGATGGGTCGAAGCATATATACAAGGCAAATTTGATACGTCAAAAAAATCTGCTCTCTGATTGGTCAGATTGTTTGGTGTCAGGGTTGGGTAGCCAATCAGGCCCAATATTGTAAGGAGTTTTGCATTGACTCTCCTATAAGGAATACCTTATATGGCCAGCATATGGATTCGCGACGTGACAGATACACATTTTTAATCGCAACAAAGAGTTTCATTTAATTAGAAATGATGTAGATCGGTGAAAGTATTGTCGTTCACATCAAAATATTTTTAGGTTATCATTTAATTTGTCATATAGACGATACAACATCACCAAAGTACGAGACTTTTCTCGAAAATAAATACATAATGGTTTTAATCGAATAAAACGCTCGTATTCGGCCGCTTCGAAAGTTATCCACGTGTTACAAAAAAACTACTATAACGACCCTTGTCGACTGATCACGCATTACCCCTGGGTGCACATATGAAGCAGCAATGCGTTCACAGTCGACTGTGGCTCGACCCGATAAAATCATCGTATTCGGAGACATTCTCGAGAAAGTCAAAGCTTGAATTAAACAACGCGGCCTTGTTTCTTTCACGTTAGAATAAAATACCTCGTTGGAAAGCCTTCGACTCTCAAGTGACGGGATCACGTGATTTAGTATGCGAGAGGTAAGTGTGTGCGTGACGGAAATGGAACGTTTCACACGCGTCACAGTCATTATTAGGAATAGAACGCTCTCTGTAAACATTCCGTAATCACGCCTTGAACAGCACAGTCTCCGGTCTAAACTTTGTAATTTACCTGGATTAAGAAACTATGGGGAACGCGAATTGTAAAAAGCAAAAAGCGAATAATGTTGATGACAACAACAATTGCATTGTGGAAAGGTAAGAACTGTTATTTTGTGAATGAACTTTGAAGGCAAGCCGCGTAAAAACTGAGAGATGCATACAATATGAGATCGCATGAAAGTGATTCGATAAAAGATAAAAAAAATCGAGTGGTATGTTATAATTAATGTAAACTTTTTTCAGTGCATGCCTTCATTTTCACGCAAATTTGATTACCTGGTTTTGAGTGGAAACATCCGGGGAATTATGCGGCTTAGTGCATTAATATCATAATATTTTATCGGTAATACTATAATTTCTATTCCACAGAAAAACGTCTTCGTCTGATATCGATTGGGATATCACCATGTTCGAAAGGGCGTTTGATGAGCTTTCCTCTCGCTTTGAAGAGATCATTGAGAAGAATCACAACTTGAGGTCTGTCATGGGATGCTCTTTCTTCTCAAAACGTAAAAACTTCGACGTAACGGAAATTGAGGAAATTCGCCAAATATTTATTGAAATGTTGGTTAAAATAAAAGACATTGTTGGAGAAAACAATGAATTATATTCGATGGTTTTCCCCAACGATGTCCACCATTCTAGCCATATCGGAAAGATGGAGTGCGTCCGCCAAGAAAATAATCGTTTAGCTATCACAATATCTGAATTAGAAAGTCGCTGTAATGCTCTTAATGAGGAGATAGCAAAGTTGGATGAACTGAACGCCGATCAGCGAGACAAACTAACTGTTCTCAATGAGGAGATAGAAAAGTTGAATGAACTGAATACCACTCAAAAAGACAAACTATCTGATGTTGAGAGTGAGCTACGATACATGGGAGATAAAGCCGATGACCTCGATAAAGACAAATTCGAATTGGAATTAAAGCTTGAAGATGCAACAACACTCTTGAGCGAAAAGGAATCCGAAGTCAGAGAGTCGGGAATAAGCTACAAAACAGAACTCAGTGCGATGAAAAAAATTGTCGAAGAACTAGAAAACAAAGTAGAGTTATCTGAAAAAGAAGTAGTGTGTTTACGAGAACAACTTAACAACCAGGGAGCTTTCTCAGATACTAACACTGAACAACATCTTTTAACCACACAGTCATCACTGAGTGTGTTCACAGGACAGCAAACCACAATGGCTTCCACTGTACCTGGAAATTGCCACAGCATTCAACAGCAACTATTTGCCTCCCAACAAGTGTCTTATCAGTTCGAAAACACCGTGAATCAAATGAATTCCGTGCAGCAATCCGTTGTCGTAACAACGTCAGAAATACGACAGATCGCGCAGCTAGTCACAACCCAAGAACAGTTGGCATTTCATCCACAGTACAATCCTGATGTACACTCCTCCCCCATGTCTACAACCGCTGTGAACGTCGATCCTAACTACCATCATTACTTTGGTGTAGAAAATGAAATGAGCAATGGCTACCATGGTGATGGATACTATCACCTGTTTTAATTTTTTGTTCCGCATCAATCACATTTTTTGTTTTATTTTCAATTTATTATCACTTATTAAATCATAATTAAAAAAAATAATATCGTATGTTTATTGATATAGAATGTAAGGAATGAGTGAGTACAAATACCGCAATCTGAGCCCCCCTATCCCAAATTGGTAACCCTAAAAGAAAAGTAAAATCAATTGGGGTCGCCATTTTAAAGGAAAAATGCATTGACGTTAACACTATACCCGACTAAATTGACACTGATCAGTCTTCAACTTGTTCAACTTACTCAGTTGCAATAAACAACTGACTACTTCTATTCCTATTTATAACAATTTTAGAAACGGCTCAGTTTTTTACAACAGTGGGTTGGCTGTCACAGTCAGAGTGGCCACCTTAATATCAACGGTCCAAAATTGGGGGGGGGGGCTAGTTCTTTCTCATTTTCTGAATTTTTTATTTTTTTTTATTTTCTAATTGATGTAATTAATATGCAAAGATTTAAACTTTTAAATTAATCAAGTCCGTGGATTACCTCCACTATGTACGACGTTTCACTGACATCACTTCATGGTGGTACTTGAGATATCATCGGCACAACTACAAAGTGGCTAATTTATGTAAAATAAGCAATTGCATGGATTTTAACCCAAAAATACGTACGTACATACATACATACACACAGACAAAGTAACCGCAAGACTCCAACTGTGTGATTCACACACAGAAGTAAAAAATGTACATAGATTATTCATTTTTTCCCTGTTTACTATATTTTCAGTAAGTACTAGGAAACTACTAGTACTTTTCACTAATAATATTTATTGTAATCTCGGTAATGTGTGGTCTTTACTAGACTCGTCACATCCGACAATGTACAACACACACTTACATAAGGTAAGGTTCATGCCAGGTGCGGCCACGTATGTACAGTCGGTTCGGCGAACCATTTATTTAACAAAACATACTAATAAAGCCGACTAAAAACGGCTGCCATTACATTGCATGTAGTGTTCAAATTGAAATAACTAAATGAGAGAAAAAAATAACTTAATACATGGACTGCAAAACAAATTGATTGACTATTGATGCTCGGCAAATGGCATTAACATTACTCGGTTAAAGAAACATTTAAAATAACTGACAAAAACATCGACAAAATAGTAACCCTCGTTACTGGCACGCCGACCGCCCAGGAAAAACCAGGAATAAAAAACCCTTTGAGGAAAAAAATACCTGGGAACCTGTACCCATCGCACTGTCGATCGTGCCCAGGGGAAAGTGGCGGGTGTCGCCCTGTATTATACAACAAACTTACAAAACAACAAGTTGAAAACTGCACTGTAGCGAGACTGGCCTAGATTGACATTCAACCTTCTGTCCTCCACTTAAATACCCCTTGTCACATGACCCCCACATACCATACCCGTCTGTTTGCCATCCCGAACAGACAATAGTTAACCGCTATACTGCGAAACGCGGTTAACCATAGACCCTCTAACTGTTAGAGGGTCTATGGGTTAACAATATTTATTGTTAGGGGGAGGTAATCTACCTTCCATGGGGATGGGTCCTTATTTTTTGAACGGGTGACTGCGGTTTATTTGGTTTCGTACAACCTCATAAAGATGTCGCCTCCGATCATAAAAACTGAGCCGTACCTGCGTACCAGTGGGAAATGAGGGATAAATCATGGCGCCAGCGTCTGGTCGAATCTATTATAAACAAAGTAAACGCGTAGAACAGCCGTAGATGGCGCACAATAATAATAAAATCATCATCTAACATATCCATTCACGATGTATATTGTATTTGCTAATCCTAAAATTTAAATAATTTATATAGTGTTTTATTCACGTATATAAGTAACCATGGTAACAGGTAACCGCATAGTGTTAATCAAAATACCATGCCGTGTTACGTTTAATAAAATTGGTGGAAATTTACAAATATTTTGATAACATTTTAATTTACATTATTGTACTAAAATCAATATATCAATACGATATAATCAATAAAGAATAACAATAATATTACCAATAGTTGATAAATCCTTGCTTATCCGATACTAATATTACTGAGTAGTAACTAACCGGTCCGG